TGTTTGCTATAACTTTCTTATAGTTTTTGACTTATAGCTGAAATAAACTTGTGAAAAATACAGGGAATATGATAGGTAAAGGAGGCAGCAGCCGGGTTTACAAAGGTTACCTTCCGGACGGCAAGGAACTCGCCGTGAAGATTTTAAAACCTTCAGAAGATGTCGTAAAAGAGTTCATTTTAGAAATCGAGATCATTACAGCCTTACACCACAAGAACATCATCTCGCTTTTCGGATTCTGTTATGAGGAGAAGAATCTTCTCCTAGTATATGATTTTTTATCAAGAGGAAGCCTTGAAGACAATCTTCACGGTACATAACGTTGCAGTATATAATGTTCCTTTTCCGGTACATTCTGTTATAATGATTGTTATTTAATTTGTTTTTCATTTTTTTTTCTTTGAATTAGGTAATAAAAAGGAACAGGCCTTTAGGTGGGAAGAGAGGTTTCGAGTTGCTATTGGTGTTGCTGAGGCTTTGGAATATCTTCACAATAGAGAAGGTCAACCCGTAATCCATAGAGACGTTAAGTCATCAAACATACTTTTGTCCGATGATTTTGAGGCACAGGTGATGATGCATTATAATCAGCCGTGCATTTTTCGTTAATTTCTACTCTTTTTAACTTAATATGTTTTTTCACTTATCATCTTTCTCAGCTTTCTGATTTTGGGCTTGCTAAATGGGCATCGACAACTTCAACTCACATAACTTGCACAGATGTTGCTGGAACTTTCGGGTAAGTAGAATTTATGCTTAAAAAAACTTGGTGCTTTTAAAACAATTGCTAAATAAACTACATTTTGTTTTTTTCTTTTCAAGAATTAGATGTTCTGTTAGAAGTAATTACTCTTTTGCCCGGCATTTTTCTTCTGCACAGGTACTTAGCTCCTGAGTATTTCATGTATGGAAAAGTAAACGAGAAAATCGATGTTTATGCATATGGAGTTGTACTTCTGGAACTTTTGTCCGGTAGAAAGCCTATAAGCAGCAACTGCCCGAAAGGCCATGAGAGCCTTGTTATGTGGGTATGTTCTTTTTACTCATTGGATTTTATCTGCAGCTAATGCTTAATTATGACCACAAAATCGAAATCATTTTACTATTTGATTATAGGCAAAGCCAATTTTAAATTCCGATAAATTCGCTATTTTGCTGGATCCCGACTTGGGCAGTAGTTATGATCATGGACAAGTGGAGAGGATGGTTTTAGCTGCCTCACTCTGTATCAGACGAGCGCCACGAGCTCGACCACATATGAGCCTCGTAAGTAGTCACTGTTAATTTCTTGATATATATTGGGTAATTCTCAAAAAAAAAAAAAAAAAGAAGTTCTAAATTGTTTAAAGTGTTAGTAAATTCTAAATTCACACTTTATAGTAAAAGTATATGAAAAAAAAATGTTATTTATCGCTAGGTTCGAAAGCTTCTCCAAGGGGATGTGGAAGTGGTCAAGTGGGCTAGACTGCAACTGAATGCTTGTGAAGGGTCTCGAGTCAAGCTAGACACGAATTCAGTCGAAGGTACTGAATTAGAAGACGAGACATTTTCAAAATCGAATCTTCAATCCCACTTGAATCTCGCGTTGCTTGGTGTGGACGGGGATTCTGCCTCGATAAGTAGCATCGAGCAAACTATTTCTTTAGAAGATTATCTCAAAGGTAGATGGAGCCGGTCCTCGAGCTTCGACTAACCGTAAATTCTTGCGAAAAAAGTTCGCGAAAACTTCTTCAATTATATATAATATTAATTTATTTTTTCGAAAAGAAAATTGTCTAGTATAGTTGGTTATGGGCTTGGATGTGAGGTTGTGTTGTGGATGTGCCCTCCTCCTTTCCCTTTTGTAGTTGTGAAAGGGAAGCCAATTTTTTTCGTGCTCGTGCGTGTGTGTTTGCTGCGAAATAGGGTAATATGATTTGTTATACATACAACGTTAGAGATTTGATGTGTTCGGAAGTGAGGATGCGAATGGCATGTCGTGATAGAATGAAATCCGAATCGACAAAATCGTACATAAATTGTTAAAACATTTGGCATATTTGATACATATTCATAAAATGGATTGTTAAAGAAGCACATAAATTACTATTTTGCTATTATAATTTGCATGGTGTTAGGATCCCACGACTTCATTTTCATTTCCTTGGTGTTAATAGTGTAGTCACCGAGTTTTTTACCACTTGTTCGACTATTCAACGGCGAAAATTCGATATAAAACGGTGAAAATTTCGATAACTACATTGCAGTCATTGAATTTTTTTACAATTAAAAAACCGATAAGATGTATTCGAGTTCTGCAAACATGATCAGAAATTGATATTTTGTGCCATCATTTTCATGTACTTGATCAATAATGGTCTGATTTATGGTAGCCATAGCTTTTTTAGGCTATTGCACTGCACGTCAGACCGTGAGACCACCTCACATTGTGTGCCTTTTATATGAGTGCCTTTTGTTCTTTTTCATAAAGGATCTTCATGTCTTTGAAAGTAACAGCAAGGGTTGGTTGATAGTAGTGTTATGTTAGTGTGTGTAATCTTTATTATAATTTTTTAGTTCTAGATAAATTTATTTAAGATAGGTATAATTAGTTTTATTAGAAGAAAAATTGTATAATTATTTATATATACAATATGGATGTTCAGTTGAAACTTGTCGGTTAATATGAACAATTTTATGTATATCACATATGAAAATCTGATAATAACTATAACAAAATATGAACTTCTAAAGTATATTAAAAATGAAATCTAGCCAGTTATTTTATAATTTTTAATGTCTAATAAGCATGAATAGAAGATCTATACATATATGAACCCTCCCTATATATTATTCCCGAATGCGCTGAGCCTACGTGGCTGTTTCTGGTGCTTCGAAATCCTACTTGGCAAAGAATCATGCTTCGTAATTAGGTTTGGACAAATAATATTGATATATTGATAATTAATAATTTAGGTTTGGATATTTCATAAATATTATTTAGCTAACTTAGGTATTTTAATATCACTTGTACTAATATAACCCTTTATTTCTTTGTAATTTTACAAGCTGAGGCACTAACTGACTAATATATCCCTGACTTTGATTTGTTTCCTTCAATTAGCTATTGAATTATAAATGTATTTTAAAAATCGATAATTTTTTTTATTTCGTATCCCTTTTACATATATAATATATCAAATTAATCATCTTTTGATGATCTTCGATTTGACATTCATATTGTATATATGGAATAAATAAATTATATTTATATTTATAATAATAATGAATAATAATATTTATTAAAATTCATTAGAAAAATAAAATTATTTCTCAATTGATATATTTATGCTTAATGTAGTTATATGTTGTAAGTTAAAAAATATATTATAATATAACACATGTAAGTTGCACAAATAAAAAATGTCATACTAAATATATAATAATATATATTTTTATAAAAGGTATTTAAATTTTCAACTATTTTTTCTCATTAATTTTAGATTTTAAGAAAAAATTAGTAAATACCGTGTAATACACGGGCGTTGCGTTGTACTAGTTAATTAGAATCACAAAATTTGACGTATATCCATATCTATATGGACTAACCCAAACAAGCAGGAATTGAAACGCTAGATTGAGTTGACACATAAAATTACCAAGCCATCGCACAAGGGTACGAACCATAATAAACTAACTCATAAGTTTTAAGAACTCTGCATTTATATAAGCATATAAAAAACCACAGTTCTAAATATTTGCCTAGGCGCTAGGCGGTGTTTGGCCACTTCCGATTTATACAAATCGGTCGAAAAAATCGCTAGGCGCCTAGGCGGGCATAGACCGATTAGGCGCTCTTTAGCGTGTTTGGCGACAATTTTTCAGGTTTTTTTTTTTTTTTTTAAATATTTTGTTTGCATGTTTTCTTTATAATATATTAATATTATTATTTAAAATTAGGTGTGTAGATTTATTATAAATTGAGATAGTTTTATTTTGTAGGTAGTTAAAATAAATAAAAAATAAAATATTTAATATTAATTTCTAAGCGCCGTCTATTCTCCGCCTAGGCGATAGACGCTGGTCAAACGCTAACGAGCGCCTAACGACTTTTAGAACACTACTTGAAAGAACTCTAAATTTATATACATGAAGAGATATACACGAACACCGTTTATTAAATGAACGAGCTTGATTGAGCATGATATTGGGCCCGAATTTTATCAAGCAAATTTATGAGCCCGTGACGTCAAGGGTTTCACCCCAACTGGATGTCAAAAGCCTACTTGTATTTAATTTATGAGTCGGTCTCACGGGCCAGGAATATACTAGTATCATATTATCATCATTCCATTTGATACAGAATGAAGATTGTATAATTATGAAAAACAAATGAAAATTTCATTTTTCGTTATATTAAAAATTCGCTAATTGAAACTAATTAAATAGTTTGGTTGGTCTGAAAAAAAAAAAAAAATCACACGCAGCACATATTATTAATTGAAATTAGGAAATTAAAGTATATACATAATACATTAGATTAGAATCAAACAATTTTGCTAAGGAACCGGATAGTTGGTTTCCTTATGGAACCAACAACTAATGAGACAGCTCTACATGGGGCTGTCCTACATTACTTTCATGTGGAGCTGTCTCATTGGTTGTTGATTCCATAAGTAAACCAACCATCTGATTCCTTAGCAAAATTGTTGAACTGCTATATAATATAGCTAACTAATCAGCGCTTGGTAATGAGCTTGATCTATATGGGATATGGAAGGTCAACAACTCGCATTGACTTGGAGATTGTTGGAGGTGTATTTAGATGGTTTCAGGGACATTTTAAAAGTTCGTGAGATTTAAGACATTTTAAAATTTTGAGATAAGAGGAATCCTTGAAATTTGTAAGTCGGTATGTTTTTGTTGATGAAATCTCTACAAATATTAAAAAATTCTTAGTAAATCTCATTGTCAAATAGGTTGAATAACTCGATATTTGTTAAGATTTTTTTAAAACTTAAATGAATACTTTATGATTTTTAAAAGTCTTACAGAGATTAATTAAATACACTATAATTCTTACCATTCCAAATTTCCAACAATTTTAAGAATCTCAAATGAATATCTCTTATGATGGTTCGGCTTGAATTAGAGTATTTAGATGACTTAATTATGCTCGGGAGAAATAAAGAAATAAAATTTGTATGTTAATAAGAAAAAGGGACTCTTATAAATCGTACAGAAATATCATGAATTTTATAAGATTTCAAATTATAAGTTTTGAAAGAGAAGACGGAAAAAAAAAATAATAATATTACTTTACAATATTTTTATGCGCAACTATGTTGTTTCTAATATATTTATGAAATTTTACGTTGGAAACACTTCGTTAGGTAATGTATATATAAAAAAAAAAGTTACGAAGTATATCACATACCGATTTATGCTGAAAGAATCGACAACTAAAATACAAAGCAAGTAATTATATAGTAATCTACATCTATACTTATATAAAAATGCATTCTATTTACTAGAATTAGTAGTAAGAAAAGTCAAAGGTAATTAATGCATTCTATTTCCATCAAGTATTTTATTTAATTTATTTAGTTAATTGTTTTTATCTCATAACACCTTTTTAGTACAACTTATCATGATTTTTCTATTGTGATTAAAAACTAAATTTTACGTTTAAAATCTTGTGAAATTATTATTATTATTATTTTTATAAAGCACATACTATTTGTTAAAAAATTTCATATATATATATATATATATATATATATATAATACACATCACAGTACCATGGTAGATGATTTAAATTTCAACCGACCAAAATGCCAATGATTTAAATTTGAACACACCTATGCGTTTGACCAAATGTCTGGATGATTTAAAATTGAGCCCATAAAAAAATATTTAAATTTGAACACACCAGAAATTTTATGTACTTTTTATTTATAAATATATTGAAAGTGGTATTTAATTGCTGTTATATAAACTATTTTAATATATTTGCAATGAATAAAGGTTTGAATGAATAATTTGTAATGTCATTCATAATGTTTGTGACTTATGAGACACGAATACCTAACTTCATATATATATATATATATATATTTGCCAGAGGGCGGCTTAATAATTATTTAGACTTAACGTTGATTAAAAGAGGTAGAAAGTAGATAATAACATTATTATTTTTTAGACTTAAACGGACAAGGCTGTGAAAATAATTCATTTAATATCTTTGTCCCGTGCATCGCACGGGGTACGTACTAGTATATATTAAAAGCCAACTTATTTATCAAAAATAGTAGCAAGAAAAGTCAACACACATTTAATGCAAACCTTATTTGGAATTTTTTTTACTATATGAATTAATTGCTTGCATATTTACATTTATTATCCAAATATGATCTTAAGGATTTTTTCCTTAAATAATTTATGCAATGACTTTACTGATATCCATTATAATTAATATTTGTCGAGTAATATTTTTTAACCTTTATTTAAATATATAAAACTATTATTTTAAAAAAAAATACTATTATTTATCATTTAAAAATAATGATCACATCATTAACTGATTTTATTGATGAGTTTATATTAGTTATTCTATAAAATTTCCACATGTTATTTATTTGTATATTATTGTCAACTGTGATATTATTTTTATCACTTTTTGTTGTTATGTTTCAAAAATGAACTTATTGTAAAATATTTTTCTATTGCATAGTATGTTAAATAAACTATAAAGCCTTAGGATGAAAATTAAAAAAAATCTCTTGATTATGTAAGAGATTTATTTTTTGGCAATTGCTAAATCATTTTTTTAGAAAAAGAATTATTATGAGAAAATTGAATTCTAAAAAACATGTGTGTGTATTTTGTAAACATTTATACTCAAAATTTTATTTTGAATTTCATTACATAAAGAAGACTACTTCTATAACTTTTATAAATAATAATAATGACATTATATGACTATAAATTTTATAATAAAATAATAATTGAGTATTATATGGTCAACGAGAATAAATAAAATTTTTATTTTTTCTTATATCAATGAATAAATATGTATTCAAAAATCAAATAAATATTAGTATGACGTGTTAGTGGAATTATATATTAATTAACATGTTAATTTTTTGGCTTAAATAAACGCCACTTATTAAAAGATATGAAATATGGATGATCCAAGCCTATTGTTTTTTTGTCTAGACGTACAAGTCTTATAAAAATAATTGATTTGTTATATGTATCACGTGCATCGCACGAGTATGCACTAGTTTCAAATAATGGGCATACAAGTATTAAGATTCAAAATATTATAATTTGAAAAAATAATTTCAGAAAGCCCCAAACTCAATTTCCAAATTTCATTTGTGATGATTATTTTTTTTTGGTACAGTGACCTTCGGTTTCCGGATCCACAGTGAAACCGACTAATTCGGAATCAAGCCGGGTAGGACCACAAGGGCTTTTAATAATCATTTGTGATGATTATTAAACAAAGTGATTTGTGATGTTATTTACAGCAGACCTACAATAGTCTCGAAAGTCAAAATTGGAAAAACAGCTTAAGAAATATATTTTCCGCCGCCTTGCAATTGGGGAAAATTTTCACACACAGAAAATCAAAGTAACCCCAGAAAAGTCCGAATTCCGAATAATCAACGCCGCGTAATGGATCTACCACCGCAGCTGCCGCTCTACCTCCACCACCAGCCCCCCAACAGCCACCGCCGCCACCACCACCATCTCAGGTATGAAAACGTTCTCCATCCTCCCGACTTCTGTCCACGGCCATATTCACATAATATCCCTCCGCCACCGCCTTTTCAACCCCATCAATCGCATTTCATTCTCTCCCCACCACCGCCGCCGCCGCCCCCACCGCCACCACCGCCATATCGCCGCTTGGCGCACCCTCATCCCCCTTCTCCCTCCAATTTTTCTCCACACAGATCTCGTCATTTCGAAATCGTTTCGCCACCGAAACCCTATCCGCATCACAGTCACCTACTTCATCCCCCACCACCGCGGACGGAGATGCGGAATAACGCACACCTGCGGCTAGTCCACGATTATCCTGCACGAAGTCCAATCTTGGCAGATGAGATTATTCGGAGGTCTCATGATTTGAGAAATCGTGAAAGGTACCCTGGTAACATTTGCGATATTCGAGAGTTGTACAATGGTATGGATGATTTGGATAGGAGAGGGGTTATTGGAGTTGGTGATAGAGGTCGTGACTTGTATGATGAGAAGAGAGTTTTGAATCGGGTTAGTGACTTCCACAAGAAGGTGGAATACAGTGAGACAAGACAGGATAGTATTAATGGCTGGATTCGTGGGTTATATAAGGATGCGTATCATGATGAGAGGAGCGTGGATAATAGAGTTAGTAACCGTGGTCGCGAGTTGTGTCGTGGGGGTAGTAATGATGAATGGAGATGGAATCATGGCAGTAATGATGAGGGTTTGTTGCCATCAGAAAACAGACGGCCTAAATTTGTGAAGAATGTTTCGAGTTCGGGTAGATTTAGTGGTAGGTTAGGGAGTGGGGTCAGTGAGGGAGATTTTGTTAGATCCAAGAAGAAGAGGAAAGTGCAGGGGAAAGCTGCCAATCGTAGGATTCAATCAGGAAAAATTTGCAGTTCAGACGATGGAGGTCATAAGTGTATGCCCATTCAAAAGGAGCCGGTTGAAGGTAGCTTTAGAGCTGAGAAAAAAGATGGGTTTAAAAGCTTGCGAACTAGAATGGATGGTAATAGAGAGAGGGAGGAGAGCCCGGAGCTTGCTGTTTCATTCAAGTCAAATGCGCTTGTGGCCAAGGCTATTTTGGCACCACCTCGTCCAGATGTCAAGACCGATATAACTTCGTCCCTTGTGAAATCTGAATTAACATCTAGTAAGTCTGGTACACACACGGTCAAATCCATTGAGGATGCGGTTAAAATTGATCGGTTAGCAAGTGGTCAGGATCCCCAATCTAATTTAAATGGCACTTCAAAAGAGCTTGTAGATAAAGCTGTGATTCCTGAAAGTGGAAATGTGGAGTATGATGCTAATGATGCTGGTGAAATTTCTGGAGAAGATCAAACTCAGAAAGTTATATCTTTTCAAGGTCCCACCAGCACTAGATCTGCCGGCGTACAGCAAAATCAGTTAAGAAAAAAGAGGAAGGCTAGAAAGAAGTTTTTTCTTAAATCCATTATGCATATGAAAAGAGATGAGAGCCATATTATTCCCTTTACTTCATCTGAATCTGTACAGCCCAGCTCGGACACTACACTTCCAAAATGTAGTGGTTCTTGGAAACCCTGTGGTCCTAATTTGAAGAGAAAAAGCAGCTGTTTGACAACATCATCTGCTTCTGTAAATGTGCCTGATAGTGTAATTCCCAACTCTTTGGAAAATCGTGCAGAGAGATTAGAAATTTCTACTGAGAATGTGGGTGCTGAAAGTTATTCTCATAAGACTTTCCTGGCTAACGAGAGTATTTGTCCTGTGAACAGCATTGAATTGAATCAGCATTGTACTAACGTGAACGGTGAGATCTCTGTATTTAATGCACAGAAGACCGAAATGGAGCGTATTGATCATTTTAATAACTTGCTCCCTGATAAGGTGGATGATATTAGTGAACATCCATTATTGGAAAATTCTTTTGCTAATGGACCTTCCGAGGTCACAGGTTCTCTTGATGGTATTGCTATTGCTGACTTGTCTCAGGAAAATCAACGTTCTCCAGAAATCCTAGCATCAAATGCATCTTCAGAATCTGATAGTGTAGTGCCTATAAAGCCTGAGAACGATAACTATACAGATGCTAAATCGGAAATAGTCTTTCTGAATGTGGTCAACACGCCACACGTTGTGGTAGATTCAGTAGAATATAGAAGTTTACAAGATGTTACAATGTCAGATTGTTCAGATGTCATTCCTACCACTAGTGATTTTCTTTCAGCACGACATGGAGGGATCTTAGTTAGTGTTTGTTCTCCAAATGACTTGAGCAAAAAGGCATCAATTGATGACTCTCGCTCCCCGGAAGGATCTCTGGAGGCCCAGAAAAATGCCAAAACTTGCATATCTGCCGATTATTCTTCCAATGTCACTATGACGAGGAAAGCCCCGAGTGCTCAGATGGGTTTTTCTGATATTGATGTGGCCTCTGGTGTAACCACCAGTGATGAAGGTGGACGACTGTTGGCTAAGGTTCCTCTTCCTGCTACAGAAACTGAATTTCTTGGTGAGAGAGGCAAATCCGAAGAGGTTGACAAGTCAAGTAGAGGACCGTCCGGAGTTGAAAAACGAATGTTGGAGCTTGCTTTTCATCCAAATGACTTGTATCCTAGCTGCAGTAAGAAGAGGAAAGCAGCCAGCCCAAAATCATATCTATCATCTTTTTCCAAAGATGAGATGGTTGCAGATGGGCTTAGTGGTGATTGCTCAAAACTTTACCAGCGGTCTATTGAACTAGTCAAGTCTGAAGCTGAAAAAAATGAGGATTCAACCTTTTCAAGAAAAATTGAGCAATTATCTTCCCAATCAGAAAATGAAATGATCTGCGGCCGAGAGAATGTATCCGGCAGAAAGCCTGGGTCTTCTGATATTAATCTCTTCCCATCTGGGAAATCTGTGGAGAAGGTAGCTTCAGACATGTCGCAAATTAATGACAATCTCTCACGTTCTTTGCCTGAGGCTAACCATGGGGTGGTAAAGAAATCATATTATCTACATGGAAAACAAGGCGTGAGTCTGAACCAGTTGATTACTGCTAGCCCTAAAGTTTTTCCTGGTAATTCCTTAAATTTTAGCAATTCAAACAAGCTCCAACCTAAGCAAGGTTCAAAATCAAGGACATGGCACCGAAACAGTAGCTCCTCTGTGACAGTCACTGAAACAAAATTACAATCTTCTTCCAGTCCTCAGAGTCATGGAACCAAGACAGATCAAACTATTCCAAGTTCATATATACGGAAAGGTAATAGTTTAGTGAGAAATCCTTCTCCGGCTGTCACAAGTGTGCCCCACCGTTCAAGTCGCTCGGTTTATAGGCTGACTCCCTCTACAGATATCTCAAAGAACGGTGGTTTAGTGAGAAATCCTTCTCCTTCTGCTGTCACAAGTGGATCTCATTATCCATGTCACTCGGTTTATAGGCTGACTCCAGGTACAGATGACTTGAAGGATAACCAAGCAACTGATTGCAAGACTGGTGAAGCTGATGCGCAATCTATCACGAGAATGAAGCCAGTAAATAATACTGAAATGTCTTCTGAATCAAAAGATGCTTTGGAAGAGTGTATGAAGTCCTCTGGGGCTTTTGGCCAGGCTGATTCAGGCATTAGCTCGAAGAACCAGGGTACACCTGATGAAGGTAATCTGCAGAAGAAGATAATGTATGTTAAGAAGAGGTCCAATCAATTAATTGCAGCTTCTAGTTCTGAGAACATGTCTACATTAGGGGTAGATAAAAAAGGCCAAGCATCATCATCTGATGGTTACTACAAGAGGAAGAAAAATCAGCTTGTCAGATCATTGTCAGGAAATTATGGAAGAAAGGCGGATGCAAATGGAAACTCACGTAGGCTTGTGTCTCGTGCAATTCTTCCCAGATTATGTACCAGGCAGCAGTCCGGCATTGCTAAGCGTTCAAAATTGTCATTTGTGTGGAAACTGCACGATATGCATTCTACAGAGAGGCATAAGACTTTGGTGGTACCTCAGAAAGTTGTCCCACGATTCTTTTCGTGGAAAAGAACTGCACATTGGAGAAGTTTTATGCATGCTTTAAGTACAAAACCGAACAAGAGTTCCTTTCCAACTTCCAGGTATGCTAAATGACTAGAGTGTTTCTAAAGTTGTTGCCATATTCGACATAATGTTTTACCTATCTATTCTAGGATAAAATAGAGATGCATTTGATTGTGTTTCTTTCTTTTGTGTTGTGTAGACAAACATTGCTGTTCTCCAGAAAGAGAGGCGCTATTTACACAAGATCATCTCATGGATATTCTCTTAGGATGTCCAAAGTTCTAAGTGTCAGTGGTTCAAGTTTGAAGTGGTCAAAAGCAATTGATAAAAGCGCGAAGAAAGCCAATGAGGTTTGTTGATCACAAGCACTATGATTGTACTTTGTAGAGCTAGAATCTCAGGTGAAGTGAGTGTTTACGTGCCTTAACTATAGGAAGCTACGCGGGCTGTTGCTGTTGCTGAGAAGAGGAAAAAGGAAGAAAATGGTGTTATTCACATTGCTTCAAAGAGCAGAAATAATGTTTCTCGTAAGTTGGTTCTTAGTGTACAGCTGCATCCAGGTACGCCGCTCTGCTATCCTGGTGTGGCATATGCGACTTGCTTGTTTTGTTATGTTAAATAGACGATTTTAGTTATTTATGACTGCACAATGCATAATCTGCATGTAATAATTTTGATTGGTAAGTAGGGTAATTTGTTACTTACGGTCTTTAATTGTATGTGATTATTATTTTGCATTTTTATGACAAACAGGAGAACGGATATTTCGCATTGGTTCAGAGAGATATAAAATGGACCCAACAAGAAGGACCCTTCACAGAATTACAGGTGGTCTGGTTGATTTTTTGTTTCCTTCTTTTTGTTCAACATGTGTACCATGCTAGCTATGACTTCTGTTTCGGATGAGCATATTAGACCCATTTTGTATCCTTGTAAGTCTAGTCTCAGTTTTCATTGACAAGTAGACACTTTATTCTTTTCGCACCTAGCAATTGCTTCCTGTGAGAGTGTGTTGATATCGAATTTGTGCATTGAAGTTTTTAGATATACAGTCATACTTCGTCTGAGTTACCAGTAGTAACTTGACCACATGGAGCTAAAAAACATAAAATATCATCAATTTATCTTGATTGTGTCACTACCCAGCACGTACGTTGTTTTGAGTCCGTCATAATGCAATGTTCTTACTTCTTAGAGGCATATACACAATTCAGTGGCATCTGCCATGGAGCTGGTAATGGGGAATAATGGGCATAAATAAAGTCTTTGAAACTGATGTTAGTTTTTCGGTTCTTCTGCAAGCCCAAGTACTTTCTGTAGTGTTTCTGTGAATCCCCATAATGGAGGACCTTCAAAGGTTTACTTAGCTTCCAGTATTACAGAAATCGATCATTTGGCTTTTGTTTTTTTTTTTGTTTTCTTTTTCTTTTGACCTATTTTCCTCAATGTCCTACTTATGCAGCAGAGAAGGAAGAAGCATCATCCCCGGTGGTTCTTCAAACCGAGAAGAATGTGAAGAGGTCTTATGTTCCCAGGAGGTTATATATTGGCAATGAAGAGTAAGCTCCTTTAGATAATCGTTTGTAGATCAAGCCTTCTATAATTTAATAGAAAATCTTTTAAACTGAACAAGGATTCATTGAATCATTATTCTAGCAACGAATGATAACTGCATACACTTAGGAGGATTGGTTTTTTAATGGGTGCCTTAAACCATGTGTAGATATGTTCGGATTGGCAATGGTAATCAACTGGTTAGAGATCCCAAGAAACGAACTCGTGTTCTAGCAAGTGAGAAAGTCCGATGGAGTTTGCGTACTGCTAGACTGAGGATGGCTAGAAAGAAGAAGTTCTGCCAGTTCTTCACTAGATTTGGAAAATGCAACAAAGATGATGGGAAGTGTCCATACATTCACGACCCCTCTAAAATAGCTGTCTGCACTAAATTTCTGAATGGTTCTTGCACCAATCTTGACTGCAAATTGACACACAAGGTATCTGGTGGTTTCCATTTTGTGTTGCTTGAAATATAATATTCACTGTCTTGTCCCACTGAAAAGATCTCAAAATAAATTATGGTATTTACTGTACATATGCGAAATTCTAATTATTATGCAGATTATCCCTGAGAGAATGGAAGATTGCTCGTACTTTTTGAAAGGTAGAAGATATTGTATTTTATGTTGTCCTGGTTAATTGTCGTGGGGTCAAATCTCTAATCCTGTCATTTTGCAGGGTCATGCTCGAACGAGAATTGCCCTTATAGACATGTGAATGTTGATCCTGATTCCACTGTTTGTAAAAGTTTCCTCCGAGGTTACTGTGCTGATGGAAATGAGGTATTTCTTTTGTTTGTTTGGAATGTTATATTAAGATATGTTATGCATTGTGAATTTTAGTCGGTTTCTGGACTATTTCGACGGAAGGACTATGAGATCATCTGTTTGGGACATGAAATTTTTTGATGAAACGATCTATATAAAATGTTTGCAAACACTTGAAAGACTTGAAAGAGAGAGTGATTATGAACTATTAATTTTTGGTGTTTTCTTACATTAAACTTCTTCACCTAATTATGATATATGTTATGATTGGGAAGGAGAGCATTTCAGATTCATCTTTTTATTTTTTTGTTTAATGTTTTTTATTATTTAACTTCAACTTATATTTGCATAAGAAGTCACCCCTGATTCTCAACTACTTGTGCTTGTGCAATGCGATGAGAAGTAATTTCTTTTAAAAGCAACCATGTCCTAAAAATTATTCTCATATGGTATTGCTTTGGAGATTAGAATCTATTGCTTGTCAAAAATGGGTACTGCTCCAGACTGCGCGCGCATAACAAGGCTGACGAGATGGGGCTCAAACATACTCGAGCCCAATAGCAACTTCAATAATTTGGCTTCATACATATGATTATCTAAAATTCTATACAATTCCCCTTTTTCACACGCGCACTAACCCCCACTGTTTTTTCAATACTTATCCTGTGAATGGATCGAATATCTCCCAAATTTTGCAGTGCCGGAAGAAACACACCTATGTGTGTCCAGCTTATGAAGCACGAGGGTCATGCCCCAACCCGTCTTCGTGCAAGCTCCACCACCCAAAAAAGAAGACAGAAAAGCAACAACCCACGATCGAGCAGAAGACCTTAAAGGGCCGATATTTTGATGGTGGGCTCATTGGGAAAGCTGATTTTACCGATATCCCAACCGAGAGGGCTCTGGCAAATGGTAAGGATGAGATGGTTCTCGATGGGAAGAAGTATCCGGATTATATCAGTTTAGATGTGGATGATGATGAGATGGACCAGGCTTGGGACTCGGAGGATGAACAAATGCCCGATTTCGATGTTCTTGTCTGAACCAGGTTTTGGTTTTGAATGATTGCTGCAAAAAAAGACGGGAAACAGGGAGAAAACAGTGCTTACATTGCAATGTGGTATAGGTGATTAGTGCTATTGATTGCAGTTTTTGTTTGTGATGTTTGATTTTGATACATAGTGATAACCTAGTTTTAGGTAGGTCTAGGTGTAGGTATATAGGATGTAGTAGTGTCTTGTTTGTAAGAAACTAGATTGATTAATGAAGTTTTGAGCTAGTGTGAAAAGTGCAATGTACTTCTGTGTGCTAAGTTGATTAATGTAGCACAATAAGGAAACATAACTGGAACAAGAAATCTTTTCCCATGGCTGCAACAACTTCAAAATACTTCTCCAGGCTATGGACAAGAACCAGCCACAACATAAGACTCGGCAAACCGAACCTGCTCACGGTCTCGGCTCAACAATCAGACGTTCAAGAAGATTACGTAAAAACCTCAGATCCGGAAAAACTCGAATCTGAGGTCAAGACGACCCAGAAACAACAGGCTGGGCCCACGACGTATATGTATATGTATTTGAACTCGGAATTGGGGAGTGTGGAAGAAATTAGGTCTAACAAGAATTTTATTTGAACTCTAAAGTAGAAATATCACATGTATATGTATTTTAGACTTAAAAAGCCACGTAAGCTTTTTGACTGATCATATCATCACTTGGTCGGACACATCGGCAAGGTGGTGGTCATCAATTTGAGTTTCACATGCAACAAATAGAGAAAGTTGGGCATTTAATGGCAACATTAAAAACGTTGAGATTTTTTTGCAATTCTATTAAAGATAAAAGAGTTTTTAAGCAGTTATGCCTTTAAACAACCCAATAATTGAATTAGCATAACATTTTCCTTTTTCTCCATTGCCTTTTCGTTTTCTTTATTTTTTTTCAAGTTTCCCTTTATTCTGTTTTATTTTATTATTTTTGTTATTATTTTTTGTCGGATAATTCCTTATAAATCCCCATCCCATTAATTTTTTTCCTTGTCAGTCCCTACCCCTTTTATTTATCCTCTCCACTCCCTAATACGATATTCTCTTTCCTCTCAACTCCCCCTATAAATACATATCTATTATTATTCATTTATTTTGCTTCAAATTTTAGAAAATTGAACAAATCTGTCGTTCAACCATTTCTCTCTCTTCATTTTTCGTCTTTGTCTCTCTCTCCCAATTTCATCGCCGTCTTTCTCTCTCGCCGTTTGTATCCACCTTGCCATCGCTCCTCATCGACCGTTCATCATCAAATGGAGACCGAAACGACGCCGCTGTGACGACTCTGAAGCAGCTTGTCGCCTCCGTTTGCCGGAATTTCAAATTTCAAGGCCACCTTCGCCGCAACATTATCGTTCGGTCAGTTCAATTTTCATTTTTTCAGTATTTATCTATGCATCACGCCGATCCCCAAACCCCCATTCATCTTGCATTCTCCAATAGCTAATTATTCTAATTTGTTTTTTTGGAATAGATTGATGAATATCACTTTTGTTGCTTTGATTTAATGATTCTGCAAAATTGGGGAAAATTAGGATGCATCTAATAAATATTTTTAATTTGGCAGATTTTATTTCTCATTTAGAGAGTGTGAAGGGAAATTGATCTAGCGAATGGCGGATGAAAAATTCACAGGTGAAAATCTTCGAGGCGGTTTTTCGGAATTGATATGGCGATTTGAATGAAAAAGAAAAACGTCTCTCAGCTCCGTCGGTAAGTATTGATCCAAATTTGTTTGGGATTTTGGGTTATTTTGCCGAC